TGTAACAATGCTGTTATTATATTTGTTCGTAACAGGCTTGTAGCAAGCTTGTCAACAAGTTGTAACAATGCTGTTATTATATTTGTTCGTAACAGGCTTGTAGCAAGCTTGTCAACAAGTTGTAACAATGCTGTTATTATATTTGTTTACAACAGGCTTTTAGCAAAGTTGTCAACAAGTTGTAACAATGCTGTTATTATATTTGTTCGGAACAGGCTTGTAGCAAAGTAGTCAACAAGTTGTAACAATGCTGTTATTATATTTGTTCGCAACAGGCTTGTAGCAAAGTAGTCAACAAGTTGTAACAATGCTGTTATTATATTTGTTCACAACAGGCTTGTAGCAAGCTTGTCAACAAGTTGTAACAATGCTGTTATTATATTTGTTCGCAACAGGCTTTTAGCAAGCTTGTCAACAAGTTGTAACAATGCTGTTATTATATTTGTTCACAACAGGCTTTTAGCAAAGTTGTCAACAAGTTGTAACAATGCTGTTATTATATTTGTTCGCAACAGGCTTTTAGCAAAGTTGTCAACAAGTTGTAACAATGCTGTTATTTTATTTGTTCGCAACAGGCTTGTAGCAAAGTAGTCAACAAGTTGTAACAATGCTGTTATTATATTTGTTCGCAACAGACTTCTAGCAAGCTTGTCAACAAGTTGTAACAATGCTGTTATTATATTTGTTCGCAACAGGCTTGTAGCAAGCTTGTCAACAAGTTGTAACAATGCTGTTATTATATTTGTTTGTAACAGGCTTGTAGCAAAGTTGTCAACAAGTTGTAACAATGCTGTTATTATATTTGTTTGTAACAGGCTTGTAGCAAGCTTATCAACAAGTTGTAACAATGCTGTTATTATATTTGTTCGCAACAGGCTTGTAGCAAAGTAGTCAACAAGTTGTAACAATGCTGTTATTATATTTGTTCGCAACAGGCTTGTAGCAAGCTTGTCAACAAGTTGTAACAATGCTGTTATTATATTTGTTCGCAACAGGCTTGTACCAAGCTTGTCAACAAGTTGTAACAATGCTGTTATTATATTTGTTCGCAACAGGCTTGTAGCAAGCTTGTCAACAAGTTGTAACAATGCTGGTATTATATTTGTTTGCAACAGGCTTGTAGCAAGCTTGTCAACAAGTTGTAACAATGCTTTTATTATATTTGTTTGTAACAGGCTTGTAGCGAGCTTGTGAACAAGTTGTAACAATGCTGTTATTATATTTGTTCGCAACAGGCTTGTAGCAAGCTTGTCAACAATTTGTAACAATGCTGGTATTATATTAGTTTGTAACAGGCTTGTAGGAAGCTTGTCAACAAGTTGTAACAATGCTGTTATCATATTTGTTTGTAACAGGCTTGTAGCAAGCTTGTCAACAAGTTGTAACAATGCTGTTATTATATTTGTTTGTAACAGGCTTGTAGCAAGCTTGTCAACAAGTTGTAACAATGCTGTTATTATATTTGTTCGTAACAGATTTGTAGCAAGCTTGTCAACAAGTTGTAACAATGCTGTTATTATATTTGTTCACAACAGGCTTGTAGCAAAGTTGTCAACAAGTTGTAACAATGCTGTTATTATATTTGTTCACAACAGGCTTGTAGCAAGCTTGTCAACAAGTTGTAACAATGCTGTTATTATATTTGTTCACAACAGGCTTGTAGCAAGCTTGTCAACAAGTTGTAACAATGCTGTTATTATATTTGTTCACAACAGGCTTGTAGTAAGCTTGTCAACAAGTTGTAACAATGCTGTTATTTTATCAAGTTGCTACAAAGTTGTCACTCACAACTTGTCCACAAGATGTGTTCGCAACAGGCTTGTAGCAAGCTTGTCAACAAGTTGTAACAATAATGCTGTTATTTTATCAAGTTGCTACACTCGCAACTTGTTGACAAATTGTTGTATTGCGGGACGATAACAAGTTGTTGGAACAACTTGTGACAAGTCCGTCGAGTTCAACAAACTTGTAGCAGGTTGTCAACAAGCCGTTGACAACTTGTCAACAACTGGAAGCTGGGAACAAGCAGTGCGAACACATCCTGATGACAAGTTGTTGGAACAGCATCGCAACAAGTCTGCTGCAGGTTTGTTACAACTTGTTGCGTTTTTGCGTGTGTACAATCTTAGGCCTAACTGGTTGACTGTCTTTTCCTCGATACAAAATTTGCATACCTTCTGTCCAGGAAAAGCGACATCCGGGTTCATAGTAATGGCGATCTTTGCTAAAGCATGAGCAGCGATATCTTTGCCTCGGTCTGTGTTTACAGTGGTCAGCGGGAGCAAAGCCTAAAACAAGCAGCGTAAAAACTATTATACAATTTCCGCAAAGGAATGTAAAACTTTATATAAAAAAACTATATATTACATACCTTAGCTCCGCCTTGCTGAACGGCGAGACCTCGATGTTCTTGAACTGTGACAATACCATGAAACACTCTAGAGCAATAACAAAAAGGACATAATGCTAATTGGATCAATTAAAGGATACGGAAGGATATTTGGGAGTTTTAAAGGATACAAAAGGATATTTGGAAGTTTTATAGGATATAAAAGGATATTTGGGAGGTTCATAGGATACCAAAAAGTATTTGGGAAATTTGTAGGATACAAAAGGATATTTGGGAGCTTCATAGGATACAAAAGGATATTGGGAGCTTTGTAGGATACAAAAGGATATTTGAGAGCTTTATAGGATACAAAAGGATATTTGGGAGCTTCATAGGATACAAAAGGATATTTGGGAGCTTCATAGGATACAAAAGAATATTTGGGAGCTTTGTAGGATACAAAAGGATATTTGGGAGCTTTATAGGATACAAAAGGATATTTAGGACTGTAACCTACGTTACCTCGCAATCATTTCTCGACATTGCTTGCTCTCAGGTTTTGCCAAATTAACAAGAGCATTCACAACTCCTTCCTAAATTTAAAAGAAAAACATAACATTTAGGATAGACAATTGGTCATTCATATTCTGTGTTTTTAAGGGAACGAAAAGACCAGTTGTTCAATGAAACACTTGAACGTATTACATGAATCAAGCTTATTATGAGAATAAGTGAAAAAACCCACAAGTTACGAGTATGCATATTAATAATTGAAAAAATTACACCATAGAGTACCTTAACTAATACACTAATTCTTTTCTGTACGTATTCTTCATTATCCTGGAAAAGGGAAACAAGAAATACTGCAATTGCAGAAAATGCATTTGTCAGTATATTCTAAAATTGTGTCGGTTTTTGTATGTGGAACATTTTCGATCAAAACAAGGAAGCCAAACACAGACCTTTTCATCAAATTCAGGAATATTAACTTTTGCAAATTTTCCAAGTTCCTTCATTTTTTCCGCGTTTTCATTCTGCTCGGGTTTATCGTAGCTGTTTGTGAGATTGACAAGAGTTTGACAGACACCGTACAACAGAGAACTGTCTTCGAGCTAAAACGAAGGAAGAATTCATGGTTGGTATGAACTACACACGTAAAAACAGGTCTGCAAACAAGTTGTTACAAATCTGTTCACAAGCTGTCGACAAGTTGTGTTCGAACTGCTTGTTCCTACTTGTTGTAACAAGTTTGGAACAAGCTGTTTAACAACTTGTAACAAGCTTGATGGCAATACCAGACTTGTTACAAGGTTGTTCTAACAAGTCTGAATGTCTGATACAGAACAAGAAGCTCGTAGCAACTTGTTACAAACAGCCTGTATTAATCTGATCGGAACGACTTGCACCAAGCCTGTTATCGTCAACAACCTTGTAACAAGCAAAGGTGATAACAACTTGTTCCAGACTTGTCACAACAGCTGGGAACAAGCAGTGCGAAGTGCGAACACATCCTGATATCGGCTTGACAACAACCTTGTTAGAACTTGCATGCAGATTGTAACAACGTGCAATGGCGCTTCTCGCGAGCACGGCTATCAATAAATTAACTTTCAAAAGGACTGGGGAGAGTTTCGAGGAGCGGGAAATTCAGTCAAAAGTTTGTTTTTGAGCGAAAATCAGCAAGAAAAAGTACTTTTTTTATCAAAAGGCTTCAACTTTAAAGATTCAAACCTGGTTTCCTGGATAGTTCTAAGTATTTTACATCCACTAACAGCAAAAACTTCCTGGGTAACAGCTTGATATTCAAAATATTACAGAAATTTGAACGTGCCGAAAAAAACTTCGCACTTTGACTCCTGAAAAAAGAACTTTATAACTGCTCTACGTTCTGGAAACATGTTTTGTATTAAATTTCAGGTATTGTTGAAAGTTTTTAGCTTTTTTCCTTGTTGAAATACGGCTATTTAGTGCTCAAAAACAGACATCTTTTTGGTGGCGTATTTTTCACTCCATACGTACATGGCGGCCTTCAATTTGGCTTCAAAGATGGCCGCCAAGTTATCGTTCCAGTTCCCTTAGAGTTCACTGAACCGGTCCAAGGATGTCATTACCTTTGCCCAAGGGTGGGTTGACTACAAAATTTTTGTAGTTCGCTATAACTACAGCTACTTCAAAAATATCTAGTCAGCTACAACTACTGCTACTTTTGAACAAAGGTAGTTCGCTACTGACTATAGCTACTGCTTAAAAAATGTAGCGAACTATTTCGCTACGCCTACGCTATATCTTTTAGTTTTACTGTATTTGGAGCATCTATACTAACTCAGACTGTAATGTAACCTATAACAAATAGACTTACGAGTAGCAACAGTAAACACAAAGCAACATTTTTGTAATCACTACAGTGCTCAGGAGTGCAAATTGACTATTGAGTATCGATTTTAAGCAAACCGTATCTCAATATCATGCTATTCTATCAAGTTGTTAACAATTTTTAAAAGTAGCGAATAGCGATTTGCTGTTTGAAAAGTAGTCAACTACTTGGCTACTTTTAGGCAAAATGTAGTTCGCTATAACTACAGCTACTGTTTTAAAAATGTAGTCAAAAACTACTGGCTACTTGAAAATTGTAGTTCGCTACAGTAGCGAACTACAACTACTTCGCTACTACCCACTCTTGCCTTTGCCAAATCCAACAAAGCTCTTAAAGCTGTACTGTCTCGGATCAATTCCTCCTAAAATCACAATATTCTGTAAGTTATAAAAACACTAAACAATATTGAATGTTTCAATGTAAAAGCCGATTTACACTACACAACTTTTGACTAAAACTGTCGCATGCAACCTGCTTACAACTTGAGTTGTACTGTGTAAATCAAGCACAAAACTCCCCTACAACGTAAGTGAGTCGTGAGCTTGATTCACACAGTACAATTCGAGTTCTAAGCAGGCTGCATGCGACAGTTTTAGGCAAAATTCATACTTTAACATCGGCATCTAACGTGAGAAACGAAAGCCCTTCCGAAGCCCATTTTCTCAGTTCCATTTCCTCTTTCGGCCTCACGAGATAACTGTAACAAAAATAACAAAAACGACGACGTTAAGTTTCCCACAGGCGAACAAGAATTTCTTGAGAAAAGCCCTCACACACCTTCTAGCAGAATTATAAAGTTTCAGAGTAGTTTCTTTCTTGTAGACTTTCGAATTAACATCACCAGCCCCGGTTGAACCGACTTTGCACATTCCCTAGAAGGGAATACATTTAACACATTAAGAGGCAATTTTTTTCCTAAAATCTTTTTGGCGTTCCTCTCAAAATTACTTTGGTTTAGCTCTTTATTTTGCAGTTCACACAGTTAGCAACCTTTTTAAATGTGTCTGGCGGTTGAGAAACACAAAATAGTAGTTAAATAATGTCAATTTAAATACAATTGTAAAACTATAAAATTGACGCCATATTTATACAGCAATATACAGTAAGCAAAACTTACTGAACTTCAGGCATCATTTTCTCTTTGGCGTACCATCTAAAATCTCTTCATTTTAGCATTATTTTACAGATAAAGCACTAAACATACTTTTAAGTCTGTTTGCAGCTTGGGAGATTTGTCCTACACTTGCATTTACGTGAACGAATGCTATATTGCGTTTTCAAAACAACTCACCACAAGCGCTCGGACTTGGAGATCTTCATTCGTAGATTTATATAAATTTTTCAAAACAGACATTCCCTATATAGAACGAGAATGTAGAAAACTTTTAAATGTATAACAAATGTGTTATTTTCCGCTGGCTGAGGTATGAAAGAAGCAGGAAATGTTTCTCACACAATGCTGGGCGCCCGATAGAAATAGAGAGTTATCGGTTTGCAAAGCTTAAGTCATGTAATGTATGTTTGTAGTACAGCGAGCATTGTGAGATAAATAAATGTCGAGAGAACGTTTTTAAGCAGGAGTTCTGTTTCTCGCGCATACCTTGTTATGAATTTCACTACAACGTTGTTTGTTAGAAGCGGCTAACGCAATCACTTCAGCAGCAGCGATCTAAAATACAAACAGAAACACGTCATATTGCGCATAACATAATCTGTATATTTACCAAGATGATTCTGTTTTGCATTCAGTATGGTTAGTTATAAAAATTGTCTGACCTGACCATGTATTTTGTCTGATTGCGCAATTTCAAATACGGTTTCAGTGATTTCAGTTTTTGTTAGGATGGCTGCGGCGGCATCGTGAGCGCCCTGGAATATGGAACAGAAATACAATGAGCTAGGATGTTAACGTGTCTAAGGGTTGTCTCAGGGATAGACTGCGTTACGATGGAGTATTAGGTTTGTGTAAGATCGACAAGGGTATGGACGTCGTTTTGTATGGTGTGGTTGGTATGGTATGGTATGGTATGGTATGGTATGGTATGGTATGGTATGATATGGTATGGTATGGTATGGTGTGCTGTGGTAATTGGTGTGGTGTGGTATGGTATGGTATGGTATGATATGGTATGGTATAGTATGATATGGTATGTTATGGTATGGTATGGTGTGGTATGGTGTGCTGTGATGTGGTAATTGGTATGGTATGGTATGGTATGTATAGTATGGTGTGGTGTGGTATGGTATGATGTGGTATGGTATGGTATGGTATGGTATGGTATGGTGTGATGTGGTATGGTATGTTATAGTATGGTATGTTATAGTATGGTATAATATGGTATAGTATGGTATGGTCTGTTATGGTATGGTATGGTATGGTATAGTATGGTGTGATGTGGTATGGTATGTTATAGTATGGTATGTTATAGTATGTTACGGTGTGGTATGTTATAGTATATGGTATGGTATGGTATGCTGTGGTATGGTATGGTATGGTATGCTATGGTGTGGTTGGTATGGCATGGTGTTACATGATATGGACATGGTATGTTACTGTATGGTAAAACATGGTATAATATGTTGCTGTATGGTGGGACATGGTATGGAAACAAAGCTTACGAAGGTACTGTAAACAGAAGAATGTTTCAGTTAAACAAACATACCTGTAGAACGGCACATAATGCTGCCAGTCCATTAATCTGTACAGCTATTTCAGAACTTTCAATATATTTACTGGAAATTAGAAAACAAACACAAAGAAGCATTAGAAAATGAGAAAACATAATATACATCTGGGGGTGGTTGTTCAAAACTGGATTAGCCTTAAACCTCGGTTAAAATTCAACAAAATTTAGTTTATGTATTTCTGTACATCCTTTTGTTGTAATACTTCAGAAAAGAAAACTCCTACTGATCCAGAAAAAATATCTAAAGGAATATTTCCAAATTTATAAACAAACTGTTGGAAAGTGTGCTTTCAATTTTAGGATAACCTAGGGTTAAGCTTGTCGGCTTTCGATTATATACTCACCATACTACTGTATCACAGTCCTTCAAATACTGTTCTTTATCTGTATCTTTATACCTAGAATATCAAAACTTCCATTAATATACGCTTCCAGAAAGTACGTCATCTACATAAAGCATCATTTACATTATTGAGAGTTTACCCTAGACTGTCGTACAGCTTTGACAACGCGACAGAGATGTGCATTCTCGTTGCCTTATCCACTGATAGAGAAGACTGTGAGTTTGACCAGATACAAGATGATTGAGCTGCTACTTGGAGTAACTTTCGTATACCTGTAGCAAAAATTATTTGAATAAACAATATGACGTTTGGTGTTTTGTGTGCAGGAAAACCCTATACCCCGTAAAGCATGTTTGTTCGCACGAAGCGAAAAACAAATTTCGGCACTATGACTTGTATTTAGTTGGTAAAAAACAAGCTTACTGACCTTCCATTTCGACAAATAACAGGACCATATTCTTATTCCCAGGTATTGCCGTGATGACGCATTCGATAATAGAGTTTCGGTTCCTTGCATTCACACTGAAAGATTTTTCACAATATTAAGAATTTTTAAAGCTCATAGCAACCATAGACGAGCTATCGTTCCCTTACCTGGGATCCACTAGGTTATCCAGCAATACAGAACAAGAAAACTTCAGTTCGTCTTTATAAACTAAAAATAGAAAGTAAATCAAGAAAACAGAATGCTAATTGTACCTTTGTGGTATTTGGTTGAAAACAAAGAAGTAACAGACCAACTATGGCACCCTCATGTCAGAAACATTTCTATACTATTCCTGTTGCACATATACAGTATACATGTATATTTCGATTCCATTCGTGTAATGTGGATTTATCTGATTGTATAATTTTGTATTTTTCAGATGTTTGAAAAGTCTTTTCAGTTTGACTCGACAAAATACCACAAGCGTTCTTCAGTTTCCTTTTGTAGTAACATACGAGCAATGTCTCTTACAGGATCTCCAGGAAGAACAGTTTAAAACTGATAATGATGATATGATGGCTGGTTTAATTTTGGTGGAGTTGAGATTGAACTGAGTTTAATTTTAAAAATTCGATACCTAATGGTGGTTGTTCGTCTTTCTGTTTTTCTTTGGCAGTCGGTTGTCTCACGGTGGATTGAATGAATTGGCTTACGAGGCCTATAGCACTGTCGCAAAGTTCTCCTGATTTCTGGGAAAATAATAAGAATTAATTTATATAGACTTTTCAATTTGTCAAAATTTCCGCTATAGATTCTCCATTGGGTTGAGTTTAGGACTTTTGCTGGCACCTCACGACTTTTGCACGATTTTTGGTTCCTCATGTTATCAGCCTATTTTCCTGATCGAATGGTACGTTGCCATCTTATAGAATCGTATCCAAGCATTTGTGTTGTCTGTCGTTACCCAATAGCAAGGAATGCTTTTGGAAGCCAAAATTCAAATCGTGCAGCAATCCTCAAGACGGTCAGCAAGGCCCTAAGCTCAACCCAGGCAATGGACAACTTATGAGCAGGATGGTTCACAAGATCAGAAAGCAGTACAAAGCAAAGGACTAAACGAGAGCCTCGGATTAAGCAAGGGTATTTTCTGAACTAGAGATTGTTGTTCGGATGGGAAAAATTCACAGCAAATTTGCTAAGATCTTGGTTTAATCCGTGCCCAAATGACCAAAGGAGGTCCCACACAAATGAACGTTAATGGGTCGCACAAACTTAACAAATAAAACCATATCTGTGAAACTTACCGATTTTATACAAGGCGATAATCGTCCTTTTAAACTTTCAAATACTCTTGCGGCCTATATAATTCGGAAGTAACCATATTATATTAAACAACTGTATTGCATTCTGAGGTCGTTTACGTTTTAATTGAGCATGAATTCACATACAGTATATATAGAAGCGAAACCATAAATTTTATTTATACCCGGACTGCACTGCCTTTGCACAGAACTGCAACAACTTTGATCGCAAGATGTCTGAGTTCTTCATTTCCAACTTCAAGAACTTTCGATAATTTGGTTATCCCACCTTGGAAACAAATATACAAGATGATAAGCCTAACCTAAAACTTCAATTTCACATTAAAATGACTATTAATTTAAGCCATCATCATTCATTAAGCACAAATATTTTCTGATAAATTCTATTTTTAAGAAGACACCATTCTTACCTGCGTTACATATTATATCTGCACCGGAATCTTTGTTCGCTAAAATAATCAGGTTTTTCATTGCCTGTGAAGAGAAGATTTACAGCCACATCTCAGCCTTCTCATCGAAATATATTGCATGGAAATAATTCAGTTTCAAATTTATTTCCATACCTGGACCTTTCGTTCATTGGGTTCATTTTCATCAAACACAGCTGTAAACATTGTGTCTACCATGCCATCTGTCGTGTTCTGTTTATCAGTCTACAAACGTAAAAACGCACAAGTTTGTCGACAAATTGTGTAGATAAGCTAGATAGATAGAAAAACGTTATTTAATCACGCTAACTCCGTCAACCGAAGCTGATTTCCACGAGGGGCGTGAAAAGCTGCTGTTTTCATTGCTTTTGGTATGATTACGAGTTGTCAATTAACATGATAAAACAAGGTAAAGCCACTTTAACTGGATTAGACTTAGTGACACACATATTATATCTCAGCAACTTATAGAGCATGCCTACAGGATGATTTTGCTTCCTAGTTGTTGGAACAAGTTTGGAACAAGCTGTTAACAACTTGTGACAAGCTTGATGGCATTATCAGACTTGTTACAAGGTGGTTCTGACAAGTCTGATACAGTCATGATATAACAAGAACGTTACAAGGTTGGCGACACAATAAGATTGTAACAATATTGTTATATCATGACTGTATCGGACTTGTTGGAACAACATTGTAACAAATCTGATATCAACAAGGTTGTTCCAAGTTTGTTACAGCTTGTTTCAAACTTATTGACAACTTGGGACAATTAAGTAGTGTGAACACAACTGGTTGACGGCTTGTTGGCAGACTCGCTACAAGATGCAAGATTTTTACGTGTTTAGATGAAATTAATAATGTCGAGATTAATTACTCGTTCTATCAAAAGCGTTCCCAACAAAACCTACCTTTTGTTGTAATTGTTGACTCAGATCTCTTAGAAACTGCTGGACAGCCGTATCCTTAAATTTTAATGAAATTAAAGTGTATTCTTTCCGTGGTTTTCATTAAACACCATTAGTACTGCTACGTTTGAGATATCTTTTTCAGGTAGTTTAGACACAAACCACGACAGTTTATTGTAGAAATACTACCTACACTGGACCACCACGTTTGAGATGTCTTTTTCAGGTAGTTCAGACACAAACCACAACAACTTATTGTAGAATATTGCCTACACTGGACCACCACGTTTGAAATATCTTTTTCAGGCAGTTTAGACATAAACCACGACAGCTAGCTCATTGTAGAATACTACCTACACTGGACCACCACGTTTGAGATATCTTTTTTCAGGTATAGTTCAGACACAAACCACAGCAGTTTATTGTAGAATACTACCTACACTGGATCACCATGTTTGACTGTTTGAGATATCTTTTTCAGGTAGTTCAGACACAAATCACGGCAGCATTTTGTAGAATACTACCTACACTGGATCACCACGTTTGACTGTTCGAGATATCTTTTTCAGGTAGTTCAGACACAAATCATGGCAGCTCATTGTAGAATACTACCAACACTGGACCACCACGTTTGAGATTTACCTTAGGGACAATCTGAATAAGAACTCTGGCTGTTTTATACGCTTCTTCTAAACGATCTAGTTTCTCTAACGCTTGACATTTACGAAATAGTGCCTTTGGGTCTTTCGGTAAACATTGAAGGGCTACAAAAACAACAAGTCATTTAACAGGATATATGCATAAACATACAAATTTTCGGTAAAATACATATTATAATTTGCGTTACAACAGCTGAGAATGAACCTTAAGTTTATCACTCTTAAATGGAAAAATCTTACTACAATTCCTGTACAAATTATTTATTAGATTTGGCAAATCATTAGATTCGGCCCAAATCCTATAGAATCCTATATAAATTCCTATAAGTGCCAATAAAATTCTCAGCGGACATACTTATATTGTAATGGGTCATTCCAGAAAACATCCATACCTCCCCCACGGAGGAAATTGGAAGTTAACCCCCTACTCCCGTTGGATGTCCTAATACACTTGCTATTATCAGAAACAATTTTTTCTCCCCTCCCTGGGCATCCGGACGGCAGAAATTTCCTCTGTGGGGGGAGTGTGGATTTTTTCTGGAACAACCCAATTCCCATGGGAAATTTTTAACTTTAATTTGAATCCTGGAATTGTCATCAGGCTAAGTCGATGACACAAAAACGTCATGTAATAAGCACGTAAAACGTTCTGTGCCAAAACAAACCTTCTTCACAGTCTTTTAGTGCTTTGCTGTAGTTTCCCTAAAACAAAACAAAGTTCTCGATATTTTTTAATGTTTTAATTTTCAGTTGTAAAAGTTGTACAAATGGTCTCACCATTTTAAGATAGCATGCAGCTTTGTTTTTCAAGACTGTTCCCTGTTCCTCCTTCAAGTCATTGTTTCCTTTGCACAGATTTAATGCATTTTCATAAATACTTATTGCTTTATTATAATCCATCTTCTTGAATTGCTCATTTCCATCAGTCTTGATGGCAATCACTTGCTCTTTTACACTCTAAGAAATTATTTTAGTGTCAACATAAACTTGTTTGTTTATTTGTTTATCTTGCCATTAATCATGCCTGTCAGATGTTGG